TCACTAAAAGGTACTGCATCAATTATTATTAAACTACAATGATGATACGAAATCTAAACAGATGAACAGTAAACAACCATTACACATCAATGCATTTTTATGTAATCTAACCAATCAATTACATCGAACACTTATACACCAATTAAAAGCATTTGATACAAAAAATGGCGGCCGATATAAATTGATTGTTTATACAATACAAACAAATAGTCCAAAAGAAGAAGAAGAATATCAATCATCATCATCATCAACTACTAGTATAATGGTAGCCAGTTGTGGATTATATAATCGAGAAACAGATTATTATTTATCTGAAACGAAAAGAACTAGTTTTGGTCAATTGATTGTCATTGTTTACGCTTGTTATCATGAATAATTATAAATGTATTGGTTTTGTGAAGTTTCATAATTGAAAATTAAGTTTTTGTTTTGCATTTTCTGTATGTTCAAGTAAAAAAATCAATAGAGAGGAATAAAAAAAAGAGCTAAACAAATTAAATTACCAAAGCAAACAGATTTAAATTTAAAATTTAAGCATAAATGAAGATTGATAGTTTGAAAATACCACTTAATGGTGGATTATTTTAAATGCAGCATTTAAAGATCTTTGTTGCATAGAACAATAAATTGACTGTTTTAAGAAAAACACTACTAGATGGTAATAAATCTTATAGATCTATGATACTGTAGGTATCATGTCAATTGAAATGCAGCCTGGAGCCCGTCCAGGACTACTTCCGGTCCCAAGCCTGAATAAAGGAGGAGGGTTAGCGACCCCATTCCTCAAAAAACTAACTCGTCAAAAAAGCACCAACAAGAAATAATAATTCAAACCATATAAACCTTGTTGTGGGAGTTAGGTCTTCATTTACCAGAGTTATGGCGTCTCATGATGAAAGCAGAGTTCCTTCGGAAGCCACGAGGCAAATGTCCGTTCTGACTACCAGAGCCTTTCCACGGTGTAGGCAGCCAGGCAGAAATATCGACCCTCATAATCGTAAAAGCACACGAGACCAAATCGGCCACAATTAAATCCTTCTTACACCTTCTAATAACTCTCTTATCTTCACAACTGACTGAGATTACTTTTGATAATTAACTAAGATTTGACAAGTTAATGCGCCTCGCTACTGATTAATTTAAATAATTTGTGGTTAAAGTGATGATGTTATCAATTTAAATTGATGTATACATAGTACTATTGTGGTGTGAGCTACTTATAAGTAATATATGACGTGAGCGTCAACGTAATGTCTGGCAGCAGAAGATGAGGGAAGATCAAGAAAGTAAGAGTTAGAAAACAATGGAATTTGTATGAAACGCATGAATAGTGACAATGAATTGATGTTTTGCAACAGGAACAGTCCAGTTGGATATGATGAACTGTTATTTTGCAAATTAAAGATTTACGATATGGTTTTCGAATTTTACTGAGTAACTCTGTAATTTTCGCTAAATACAATTCGGTTGCCCCACCTGTGTTTTCGTTCACTACACTATAACAACCAGATCAGTGGTTGGTTGCAATTTTCACCTAGATTTTGTTATCGAGTTCGACGTTTGCATTACACAGCATCGTTATGTTTCCCTTCAGTTACAATGTGGATAAATAAGAAAGTCACTAAACACAAATCGATATTTCTGTACGTTAATGAATATCAACCTGAATTCCTTGCCTTGAATAAGAAGCGTACTTCAATCATTGATTGATCATTTTATTCTGATTTAATATCTTTTAATTGAAACTTCTAATAACGATTTAAATACAGGAATCAGAGTTTTATGGAAATGTTGTCTCATTTCAAATTCGTTCAGTGATCAACAATGTAGTGTCAAATGTGCTTTGTTTAACACCACTATAAATCATTTATTCTAGGGGCAAGTGATTTTTCTCTCTTTAGTTATTTTGATACTATTTGATCATGACAGAACTTACTGATTAACTATTATTATCATGTTTCAATAAGTACGGTATTGACTTTTTGACAAAGCCAGATTTATTTGTACTATATTTATCGAAGAGTAACAAGTGATGAATCATTTATGACTGATAAAAAGGCTATCTGAATATCTTACCAATAGAAACTGATCAATTTATATCTTGTTCCTTGACTGTTCGAAAAATTCATTGTTGGTATGATTTCTTACCTGTTCAACTAAGTATTAAAACTTGGCTTACCGGAAAATACTGTCCTGATCTTTATTCCCTACAGATATTTATATATTGGTTAAATTGGATGAAATATAGAAGAATGGAAAAAAATATTTCGTAAAAATCTTAACTTCCGAGATGAATTCAAAGTTCCCAAGAACTATGGATGAAACATTTATAAGTTGATCAAATTAATTGGAACCAGTGATACGAAGTGAAGTAGTTATACGTGTTGACCGCCTAATTTATGTTAGGAGAATCACCAATCCTGATTTCCTGTTGAATGATGACATCTCAGCACGAATACAGAAGGTTCGACTAGCTTCTGCCAACTTGAGTCATTTATGGCGGAGGCGAGATATTCGTATATCAAAAAAAGGACGAGTATACTGTAAAGTAGTCCGTTCCGTGCTACATTATGGATGTGAAACATGGCCACTAAGAGTTGAGGTTATTTGTAGGTTACTAGTATTCGATTATAGATGTCTCCAAAGCATTACTCGTTTATCTTGAGACTATCGAGTAAGCAATGCTGTTGTTAGGAAACAGGTATTAGGTAAGGATGGTAAATCAATAGATGAAGTACTTAACTTCATCAGTTGAGAGATGTGTTACCTATACCCATCCACCAACTGCCTTGACGTGCTATGTTTTGTGAGAGTGGGTTGGAAGAAACATAAGGGCGGCCAAACCGAATCATGGCACAAGTCCATGAAATCACAGACAAGTGGACTGAGCCATATTGGTAGATGTAGACTACCTGGTTGGGGTCTGCGAGACGATACTAACCAATGGTTAGAGACTTGGAATGAAATGGCTTAAAGTCATTTGTAGTGGCGCAGGTGTCTCCATTGTTTGTGCTCTTTCAAATTCTAATCTTTTGAATAATACATGACGTTATTTTCTTTATATAACTTTATTTCACTGGATTCTACTTCTTGAATAATCTCTTCGAAACCAGATCTTCTCCATTACCGCTAATACTTCTACTACATCTACGACTAAGGGATTTGAATTAACAATTGCATCTCTGTGTGCTAATATGGTATGGCAACTTTAACTGATGCACGTACGTACGTTGTTAATGACTGACTGAAACTGATTAGGAACATTTCACAACATACATCCACTGGAAAAGTTAATAATATTACAGTGACTTCATATTGAAGATGAATCTGTCACAGAACATCAAAGTAACAAATACTCTACATTCACTTGCAAGAACATTTAGGAAGATTTTTAATTATCCTTCAATATTATTGGAATCGAATCCGAGGCTGAATCACAAACAAATTCAGGCGATAGAAGCATACGTAAATGTATAAGGCGATAATAGTAGATCTCTGGTTTCAAAAGAAAATGTAAAAACGACTTACAACATCAACGTAATTTCATCAAAAACGATCAGTCAGTCAGTTACAACGAAGAACTTCGTACGTACGTACATCAGTCCAAGTTGCTATACTACGATGGTATACAGATATATAATTGTCAATTCAAATCCCATAGTAGTAGAGATAGTAGAAGTATTAGCAGTAATCGGAGAGATTAGGGTTCGACGATATTATTCAAGAAGTATAATCTAGTGAAATAAATTTAAAAACAGAAAAATAAAGGTGATTAGGATTTAAGAGAACACAAAGAATAGATGTACCTGCGCCATTGTGAACGATTTTGAACCATGTCATTCAAGGTCTTCACGCATTGATTACTATCGTCTCACGGACCCCAACTAGGTAGTCTATACTTAACAACATGATTCAATCCAGTTTCCAGTGACTTAACATCAAAATCTATCATAAATTTTATCATCCAAAAACTATTTTAATTTATTGACATACCTATAAAAGAAACTAGAAATGAATAGCAGTTAATTTATAGTGAATGACAAAGTTACATAGATGGCTTGTGCGTTTAATGAATGATAAACATTCTGATATAGACAGATACAACGCAGAACTTCGTACTAAGTACATCAGTTTAGGTTGCCATGCCCCATCAGCACAGAGACGCAAATGTCAGTTCAAATCCAACAGTGATAGCAATAATACAAGTATTAGCAGTAATGGAGAAGATTATGGAGAGAAGATATGATTCGAGAAGTATAATTCAGTAAGATAAATTTAAAAAGAGAAAGGTAGAGATTATGAGGAATGCAGAAGCTTAGAATTTCATAGAACACAAAGAGTGGATGCACTTGCGCCATTGCAAACGATTCTGAGCCACGTCACTCAGGGTCTCTAACCATCGATGATTATCATCTCGCGGACCCCAACCAGGTAGCCTACATCTACCAACATGACTCAGTCCACTTTTCAGTGACTTCATTTTCTTATTTAAGAAATTCACTACAACCAAGTGAACACTAGAAACTGAATGTGTAATCTTAATGGAGAAGAAGTGCTAATCGAAATTCTGGTTTTACTCTAAATATATGACCTCGAAAATGCTGTCTGTCATAATTTGAGATTTAACATTAGAAGAAGAAAAAGACTGATTTTAAACTAATTAATTAATCTCGTAAACACTGAAATATCCTAAATATAAAAAATTCACTTTCATAGTTCAATTATTTGTTTTGAAAATATGTGAAGTAACAATAAGCATGACAAGTAATTCAGAATTTCTTATTTCATCTATAGCTACTGATCCCGACAATTACGCCTCAATATCATTAGTAAGAATACTTAAATTAAATAAACTAAGACAATATTTTCAAGTAAGAAGACGATTCCTGGGCGGTGGGAAATTAGATTTACACTTAAAAACTGAGTTTTGAATTGTTAGTGGGACATGAATGGAATTAAAGCATGACTACGTTGCTGCGCACTGATTGGCTAATTTTCTATCCAATCAGCACCTGATCGATTCTTGGAGAACAGGGTAGAAAATTCTCGTGTTGTTAGCTGCATGCTGATTGGCAAAATCTAATCCAGTCGATCACATGAATTTCTATCCAGAAGCATCTCATGTAAATAATATAAAGAAACTAACGTTGTATCTATTTCGCCTTCTCCTTCGGCTTCTTATTTCCATTTAACCTTGCTATTTTGGAATATAATCTTTTCCTGTTCCACCGTGTTTTTGATTCTTTGGAACTTGTCCAGTAGTGTATTGTGGTCAGAGTATATATACTAAGCAATAGGAATTAGTCGGGAATTATTCAAGCAAGCGCTACAATATGAATGAACTGATCAACTCTGAGTATACATTGTATATTCTTCTTATGCAGTTTAGTTTCAGGAGCTTCGAAATCTGCACATACTTCAAACCACTTGTACTGCAAAATAACAAAGAAACTACCAAAGTAAAAAAAATAAAATTTGATTTTTGCCTAATTTAAACATAAAAAGTATATAAAATTTGGAATCATTCAGTGAATAATAATAATAATAATAATAATAATAATAATAATAATAATAGTACCAACATGATGAAATGATACTTGTGTGTCAGTCAGTTAGTAGGAAAATGATACATACATCAATGTAGTTAGAGTTCTTTACAACACAAAACCTTTTAAAGTTAACAAAATAGATTTCCAATAAAATAAGGAAAAAAATCATGCAATTATATAATTCACGTTTGTGAATAATTTTATATCAATTTTCCATTTTTATAGCACTAAGTGCATAATTCAATGATAAATTACTACTCCAGTGCCATCTACGACTTAACGGATTATACAACATTCCACTAAGTTGACGCGGTTGTAGACCACCTATAGAACAAAACAAAAGAATAAACATTTATAAAAATTTCAACCAATTATAGTAAGTAAGGTTAAAAAAGTTCGCAAGTTCATTTCACATATACACAAAACACAAATATCATCAATCTGGACAAAAAACACTAGGGAATTTTTAGAAGCTTGGCACTCAAGTGAATCAGCATTCAACAAACACATTAACATTGACCCAATTTATCAACCAATCAGGAAAATCATAGGTGTCATAGGATCAAGAAACAGATCAAAAAGGGGGATGCAATCAAAACAAAGGTACAAACAACGACAGGTTTAAGGTCAACAGCAACCAATCAAGATCGAGGTTAGCAAAACAAGCTACAGGTCAAACGTGGAGAAATTCGAATACTTCACTTCTATCTGAAGTTAGTGCTGATGATAATGTTGTTCAGAAGAACAATGAAAGCTCCACAACCAGAACACCCAGTTCAGAGAACCAAACACCACCACCACAATCATCCACCTGAACTACAAATCTTCTCCACCATCTCAAAACAGAAGTAATCGAAATGGGATTTAAAACCTACAAAAATTTTCATTATTAGGAGTCGCGACCTTGAATCACTGGGCTAATAATTTTGATTTACTTAACCATAAGCTGAAATATCAGAAATAAAATAAACCAGCTTCAAGTGGCTGGATTTCTGTTGGGAATGTTAGATCCCCTGAAGTCGCTTGATAAATATCATTATTTTGGATTTATTTCATGGACCGATCAGTTGACCTTGAGATCACATTTCCCACCAGGAAAAATCCTTAGCTGTGATTGGTTTCTGTGTCATTTTAGTGTGCTAATTTTTGTGACTGTCCCAAGGACGTCTCTATAGAGTATAAATAAATGCGATTTGAGTGCTTGGATTCTTTGTGTGCTGCCTGTGTATTTGTAGAATACAATTTCTACACTATATCAAGACTTCTTGCTGATTTAATTTAGTCAAGGGATCACAGTAGTCTACCTGGACGACGCTGGTTCATTGTTTTGTTCTCGTTATTCGACTAAGGTGAACTCGTAATAGTTTAAACATACATACCTAGAGACGAGTGTAACAATTTCTAAAGCTTTGTATTATGTGCAAAGACAAAAACTGATATTTGGCGAATTGCAGTCTGTCTATAAACACATATCAAATAGAATATTTAACAAATAATTATACATATGACAACTTTAAAAGATCAAACGATCTTTAAACTTCAAGTGTGCATTACTCTGTCGGTTAATTTTTATTGTACAAATACCATCAGTCAGTCAATTGCAACATAGAACTTTGTACGTATGTACATGAGTTCAGGTTGCCATACCATATTAGCACAGAGACGCAACTGTCAAATCAAATCCCATAGTCATAAAGACAGTAGAGGTATTAATGGTAATGAAGAAGACTAGGGTTCGAAGATATTATTCAAGAAGTATCATTCAGTGAGATAAGGATAGAAAGACAAAGCTAGAGGTGCTGACGAATCCAGAAGATTAGGATTTGAGAGAGCTCAAACAATGGCTGCACTTGCGCCATTGCAAACGATTCTGAGCCATGTCGTTCAAGGTCTCTAACCATTGGTGACTTTCGTCTCGCGGATCCCAACCAGGTAGTCTACATCTACCAACATGACTCACTCCACTTGTCAGTGACTTCATGGAATTCTCCCATGTTTTGGTCTGGCCGCCCCTAGCTTTCTTCAAACCTACTCCTACACTGTAAATCATTGCTTGTCGAGGAAGTCGGTGGTTGGGCATTCGTAACACATGTCCCAACCACCTCAAATGATGAAGTTTCATTACTTCGTCTATTGATCTGCCCATCTTACCTAGCACCCGTTTCCTAATAACAACGTTGCTCATTCGGGTGTCCCAGGATATACGAGCAATGTTTCGAAGACACCTATGATCGAAAACCAGTAACCTACGAATATCTTCTACTCTCACTGGCTATGTTTCACAGCGATATAGTAGGACGGAGCGAACCACTGCACAGTACACTCGTCCTTTAGTCAGTAAACAGATATCTCGCCTACGCCATAAGTGACGCAGGTTGGCAAAAGCCAATCGAGCCTTCTGTATCCGAGCTGAGATTTCGTCAGTCACCAGGCCATCAGCACTGATGAGACTCCCAAGATAAGCGAAGTGGTCTACACGTTCGACTACTTTACTCCCTATCACTAGTTCAGGTGCCGATGCAACCCAGTCTTGCAGCAACATTTTGTATTTCGATAGGGAGAACCGCATCCTGAACATGCTTGCATTGTTGCTTAGGGTGGTCAGAAGACTCTGCATTTTGTCAGCGTCTTCACCAAGTAGGACTATGTCATCAGCATATTCTAAGTCGATAAGCGAGCCTCCTAGTAAAAGGTCTACTCCTAAAAATTCAGACGAGTATAATTGATAATGATTAATTAATACGGATCATGGAAATATTATAAAATGAAATAAATCAAAATATTAAAAAAACTTTACGTTTAATGCAGGCTATCTGTAATCGACTTGGTTCAATGAATTTATTCCATTCATGAGTACCACGTGGAATAATACCAGTCATATATTCAGCTACACCAATGCCTATTATTAATGAAGCAGTTGTACGATTTATTGTAGTCAAGAATAACATTCCTTCTAACTATAAAAAAGGAAGACAGAATAACGATAACAACAACACCAACAACAATATGTAAACAACAGAATTCAATTAACAGAAAGTAAACAATTAACGTAATAAGTTCAAAGTGTACAAGGATTGATATCTGTTGAGGTGAATAGTAAAATTGAGTACGATCTGATTAAGCAAGTAATGAATGACTAAATTGAAGTGGAAAACGAAATTAATTTCTTTGCGTTGTTAATGGCAAGTGAACACATCCTGAGAAGTAGTAATTAAACAACTAAGTCAGTTAGCTTGGTCCGTTGATCGTAGACATTTAATTGTATGATATTATAAATATGCGGTCACGCAGCAACTCAGTGATAGTGTGGTGCGCGCAACTTATAAGTAGTATATGACGTGAGTGAAAACGTAATGTCTGGCAGCAGAAGATGGGGGAAGAAGATCAAGAAAGGAAGGGTGGGAACACAATGGAATTTGTATGAAACGCATGAATATTGAACTGTCAGACAATGGATTGATGATGGATTGAAGATTTGCAAATTGACCGTTTACGATATGGTTTTCCTATTTTACTGAGTAACTCTGTAATTTGCGATAAATACAATTCGGTTTCCCTCACTTGTGTTCTCCTTCACAACAATAGTATTATTAAAAACTATTGCGTTTCAAATTACAAAAATCTGATTAATTTCCACGGTTAAAAGAAAAAACCTATATCGGTAGTCTTTGGATTTTCATGTTACGTTGGATTAGAAGATTTCAGTATCAAGAAGTCATTTCAACATATTCAGTCAGCGATAACCTTTCAATGACAGTTACTGCCATAGAACCTCATGATCCACAGACTCAAATGTCGCTGTAGGGTCGAGGAAGACAACTATTGTCGGACGTCTAAATGTGGGTCTGTGTTCCAGGACCTGTCGTAGTGTGAAGATGTGGTCTATAGGAGCACGTTCGGGTCTGAAACCCGACTGGTTTTCTCTAGTCTGTTCTCCTCGAGCTCTAATTAGGCATCTAAGAATAATTGAGGCTAACAATTAGGAAAAGATAATAGTTAGAATGATTTCTCAGTGATTGTCACAAGAGGACTTTTGTAATTTCTTATAAATTAGGATATCCAGTGATTGAGACCAGACGGATGGGATTAAGTCCAGTTCCCAGTGTAGCAGCAGGTCTCGACATACATAAAGGGAAAAACAAGATCCTCCGATACAACATTACGTGCGCCAACCGAATTACACTTGAACGAGGTGCTTTGGAGGATATCAAAACCTTTACACATCTGGGCAGCATCATCGACAATCAAGGTGGATCCGATGCAGATGTAAATGAGCCGATCGGCAAAGCAAGGACTGCATTTCTACAACTGGACAACATCTGGAACTCAAAACAAATATCAAACAACACCGAAATCAGGATTTTCAATACAAATGTCAAGAGAGTTCTACTGTATGGAGGGGAAAATCGAAGAACTGCGAAAGCTATCATTCAGAAGATACAAGTATTCATTAACAGTTGTCTACGCAAAATACTTCAGATCCGTAAGCAAGTAAGTAAAGTAAATACCTACACCAGAGAAGTCAAAGGAAGCAGCAGCAGGGCTTCCAGATACACGAAGCGTATATCGAGTTAATTCTTCATTTAATTATGTTGCGATCAAATGAATGACACTGCTCAGATCTTGTATGAGCGTTTCGGAGAAGCAACACGCCGATGGCACGATATTCTAAAGTAATTGCTAAGGAAGCCTGTTTTCCCATTTGGCACAAGGTTCAGACACTGAAAGCTCGAATACGTAATTTAGGGTGTGGTTTCAGGAGACAAAGAATAACGTTTTGTGCACTCAAATCGTTTGTATCAGCGGCGCCAGGCGGTAGAGTATTAAGAGAGTGGTTTGTCGGGGAGGTAAAAGAGTTATTAAGAAGTATAGGAAGGATTTGATCGTGAGAAAGTTAATTTCATGTGCTGTTACTGGTGGTTGGGCGGATGCAACTTCGCATGGAAGGGTGTTTCTTGTGGAACCTAAAAAAAAAGTTGAACTAGTGTTAGTCTTAACGACCTGGGAGCATGACCACAGAGCGCAGGGAACAACTGCTTTAGGCCAGTCACACGCGGCCGTTTAAAGGCATGTTACGGAGGTGCTGGCTCATCTCTTTAAATGGCCTTATCGCCGGAGACGGAAATTTGTGGGGTAAAGTGAAGTGTAACATTTTTAGCGTCAACCTTTTCTAACTTCCTTTTCCATGTGATAAGGCAGAATCGTTGGAGATGATAGTTGTCCGAGGGAAACTATTTACTGCTGTCACGACCCTCTACATTCAGCCGTACGAGTTCATCCTTAAGACATGAGTTTCTGCATTCAGTCTTACCGTTCTCCAACCAACCTACCTAGCATGGGTGGAACTAAAGAAGAACATGTCCCAACCAATATAGATTGGACGGGTCATCACGATAGATAAGCCCGACCAGCACGACCAGGTAGCAGCTACGGTCACGATTAAGCATATTCACGCATACAGCAAGTGAAGAAAAAAACAAAACCAATCAATTCTGTCAAGTTTCACAGATTAAATGAGTGAAATGCTTCATACAATTTTTTCCCAATAAATTAGGAATAATTAACGTAGCAGAATAACATCAATTCATTTTGTGTCACTATTTCTCGTCAGTTGCTTACAATCTAAACATAATAAGATCCAGAAACAGATCAATGTAAGACACAAACAAGTAAAGGTACAGACAACGTCAGGTTAAAGGTCAATTACAACCAATCAAGGTCGACGTTAACAGAACAAACTACATGGGTCAAACGTGGAGAAATTCGAATACTTCCCTTCTTCTATCTGAAGTTAGTTTTTGCTGTTGATGATGTTGTTCAGAAGAAGAACAATGAAAGCTCCACAACCGAAACATCCAACTCAGAGAACGAAACACCATCACAATCATCCACCTGAACTACAAATTTTCTCCAGCAAAATATTATTCATTAAAAACCAATGTACATCGTTTATATAATAACATCAGCAAAAGTTCTCATCAGTGAAGACTGATGAAAGCGTAATAATAATAATAAGGACTATGAGAAAAGAGAAAATACTATTTATATGCTGAACAATGTGAATATTTGTAGGCTGAGCAGAAGAATATTCTCTAGAATAAACAACTAAGAACATAGAAACAGAATTACAATTCGAAATAAGATATTCATGTAATAATTACTGATGTAATTATTAAAACAAAATTAAATTTTATAAAAGTTTCTCAGCTTATTTGTTTTTTTTCTGAGAATAAAAATGCACTAGTCATTGAACGTTACATTGGATTTCAGTAATTTCAGCAAATTAATATTTACGCAGTTACGTGACCTAATTCATTTGAAATTGACTTATGTACTTGTTGTGTTCTTGTGAACATAGAAATTGAAAATGTATTGAGCAGTTTCATAAAAAAAAACATAATTATGATTTCATCTTACATATATTCCATTCATTTGTTATGCCACTGTTTTTCGACATTACATAACTCTAACTACACATTTTTGAAACCATGAATTGATCATCATCATTAGAAACCTGGAAGCACTGGACGGCCGTTTCGTTCTCGTATGGAACTCATCAGCAGTGCGCATCCTCGACTCCTACACCCTGCAGGATTCGGACCCAGGACCTTCGGTATTTTGCGCGAACGCCCTAACCGTTAGACCACTGAGCCGGTATCCAACGGTGTTAATGTCTAACTTGATCAAATTCACGGACATTAACACCGTTGGATACCGGCTCAGTGGTCTAACGGTTAGGGTGTTCGCACACAATAGCGGAGGTCCTGGGTTGGGTGGATGCGCACTGCTGATGAGTTCCATACGAGGACGAAACGGCTGTCCAGTGCTTCCAGGTTTCTAATTGTGGTCTAACACTGATCGATTCTTGGTTTCAAAAATATGTAACTTAACAATCTTCACAACCCCGTAATGCAAATAACTCTAATTATTCGTTCTCAATTCTTATTCAGTCAATTTTGTTTTAATTATATAACATGAATATCTTATTTCAAATTATAATTCTGTTTCTTAGTTGTTTATTCTAGAGAATTTTCTTCTGCTCAGCCTACAAATATTTATATCGTTTAGCATATAAATATTATCTCTTTTCTCATAGTCCTTATTATTATTATTACGCTTTCATCAGTCTTCACTGATGAGAACTTTTGCTGATGTTATTATATAAACGATGTACATTGGTTTTTAATAAATAATATTATGCTGGAGAAAATTTGTAGTTCAGGTGGAGGATGATTGTGGTGGTGTTTCGTTCTCTGAGTTGGATGTTTCGGTTGTGGAGCTTTCGTTGTTCTTCTTCTGAACAACATCATCAGCAGCATAAACTAACTTCAGATAGAAGAAGGGAAGTATTCGAATTTCTCCACGTTTGACCCATGTAGTTTGTTCTGTTAACTTCGACCTTGATTGGTTGTTACTGACCTTTAACCTCACGTTGTCTGTACCTTTACTTGTTTGTGTCTTACATTGATCTGTTTCTTCATCTTATTATTACTTACTTACTTACACCTGTTACCCCCAATGGAGTATAGGCCGCTCAGCAGTTTTCTCCAACCAACTCTTCACTGGGCTTCCTTCTCCAGTTCTGTCCAATGTTTGTTCATTCCTCTCATATCTTTCTCTATTTCTCGGCGTAATGTGTTCTTTGGCCTTCCTCTTTTCCTTTTGCCTTCAGGGTTCCATGTGAGGGCTTGTCTCGTGACGCGAATGGGTGCTTTCCACAATGTGTATCCTATCTACTTCAACCATTTCTTCCTAATTTCCTCCTCCACTGGAATCTGGTTTGTTTCCTCCCATAGCAGATGGTTGCTGATGGAGTCTGGCCAACGGATCCGAAGTGTTTTGCGAAGACAACTGTTAATAAACACTTGTATCTTCTGGATGATGCCTTTCGTAGTTCTCCAAGTTTCCGCTCCATACAGTAGAACTATCTTCACATTTGTATTGAAAATCCTGATTTTGGTTTTGGTTGAGACCTACTGCTGCAGAGGCTGCTGCTATACTGGTCGTCTTCTCTTGCATTTGTTGTTGCGTGTGCGATAGAAGAGTCAGGTCATCTGAGAAGTCCAGATCGTCCAGCTGCGTCCTAACTGTCCAGTTGATACCGTGCTTCACTCCAGATGTCGACGTCTTCATAATCCAGTCAATCGCCAGGAGAAAGAGAAAGGGTGAGAGTAAGCAACTTTTACTGACACCGGTCTTCACCTCGAAAGAGTCTGTTAGCTGTCCTCCGTGTACGATTTTGCAGTTGAATCCATAATAAGAATTCCGTATGATGTTAACTATTTTCTCAGGCACACCATAGTGTCGAAGAAGCCTCCACAGTGTTTTCCTATCCAAGCTATCGAATGCTTTCTCGTAGTCGATGAAGTTGATATAGAGTGGTGAGTTCCATTCAATTGATTGTTCCACATCTTATGTTTAGATTGTAAGCGACCTTGATTGATTGTAATTGACCTTCAACCTTACGTTGTCTGTAACTTTACTTGTTTGTGTCTTACATTGATCTGTTTCTTGATCTTATAATGTTTAGATTGTAAGCGACTGACGAGAAATAGTGAAATACAATGAATTCATGTTGTTATGCTACGTTAATTATTCCTAATTTATTGGGAAAAAATTGTATACAATAACTAGTTTTCTTAAAATTGTTATCAAACTCATACTGAAGTATACTGGAACTTGATCGTTTATCTGCTGAATACGATATTCATTAAATACATGTTATAGATGAAGAATTTATTGAACGAATGAACAAATTTTAGAATGTTAAAATGAAATAGCGGAGTAATTGAATTATGTACAGTCGTAATATCCAAATCCCTACATAAAATCGAACCAATTTTAACACTAAGTTCAATTAATACTTTACTGAACAATAAGTGTTTTACAGCTAAGTTGTTGTAAAATTACAACAGCTTGCATTGTTTACATACGTTTGACATCAACTAAACTGCCTAGTGGTTGTTAATATTATTGTTAAGGTATGGATATAAAATTGTTTACATTCAGCAAATTTTGAAATCTTCAACTTTAAAAATGGAATTCACTTCAAAATGATAATATCTGTTTTATAGTCATGGGAACTTGAGTCAATACAAATGTGTGATAATACTCGTACGATATAAAGTGGTAGCTGTCGACTACCTGGTTGGGGTCCACGAGATGATAGTAATCTTTTGTTAAAGACACCGAATAATATGGCTAAAAACCGTTTGCAATAGCGCAGGTGCATCCGCTCTTTGTATTCTTTCAAACCCTAAACTTCTTAATTCCTCATTACTTTATCTTTTTCTTTTTAAGTCTATTTCACCAAGACGATATCGAAAGATTATGATACTAAAAAGAATGTTTAGAATAAACTAATTTTTGAGAATAGATGAAAATATTTAAATGTTAAATCTAATGACCCTGATTGGGAATCGAACACAGACAGAGATCCCTAGCTGTAGTAAGTAATATTAATGACTTATGTTATGTGATAATTCAGATTTGTTCCAGATTTCTATTTGAATCAAACTGTAGCTGACTGCTTGCACCTCGGGCGTATAAACTATTCCGTATCGGTAACTTCATTATGTATTATTGGTCAGAATAAGTGTGTATGTGTTCTGTGTTATGGTTAAATTATCGAGTATACAAATTTAGTTTCTAGTCTATTATGGAATATCAACCAGTCAGAGTGGTTTGATAATTGGCAAGATCTCTAATGCTGTTAAAGATATAAATGCGGTTGTCATTATTTTCCGGTTGACCACAACGTGGAAGGATACTTGTTCTCATCAGAGTCGAAAACGAATCAGGATAAGCAGTGGCTGCAGCAACCTGGTGACGTGACGACAGAGCCAGAGGAACGACTGCTTGAGGCATTTCTATGGGAAATCTATAATATGTCAGCTCAATAATAATAAGGTCTTACGGCCAGAGACAGAAGCCCGTAGGGTAAGATGTTGACATTATACGGGCAGATCATTTATAACCGCTTCATTCCGTTGCAGGAATGCAGAATTTCTGTAGATGCTGATTACTTACTGAGGGAGATACCTTACTGGCATTACACTTCAGTATAGTCAGCAATACAACATCGTCCTCGGACACTGAGCTTAAAGCTTTTAGTTTTAACGTTCGCTAACAGATCTGTCGGGCATGGTAACACTTAAAAGAACGTGTGTTCCAGCCAACATATGTCAATAAGATAAGACAGCCAGGTCACTACGTCAATTAGTACCTAAATGTAAAATATATTTCTTCCACAGTACAACACACTGCTAATGATAATTGGCAAGGTATTTCTCCATAAATGGTGTTTGGTTTCATGTGAAAACATTTAAGAGAAAATATTAATTCCAAAAATAAATAAAACTATCATACATATAATCAAGAATAATATCAAAGAAATCTTCTCTTACTTTTAAGCATTGTTTAAAACTGTTCAACATATCCTCCCAATCAGTTACATGTTCCAATACTTCCGATGCAACGACGGCATCAAATTGACATGGGAATTCTTGAGTAATTGATTCTACACTAGTAAATTTATATGTAGGTTTAAGTAGGTCCGGATGATCAGTCCAACGATAAGATGTCGCTTCAACATGTTCTTGTGCTGCTTTTATACCTTCTTCTACTAAATCTATGCCTAAAACATCTGCACCCAACATAGATAATGCCTAATAAGAAATTATTTCAAGATTGATCATTTAAAAAGTGTGCTTAAAAAGAAATATGAATTTATGAATTAAAATGTATATTCAACAGATTGAAGCCCGTTTCTTATGAAATAAGTTTTTGGAAAACATCATTCAAATGAATTATTCAATAATTAAGTAAGTAATCGGATAAAAAATTACAAGTTACGTAATAGACCAATATTGACTAGACTCCTGAAAGCTAAAAAAATATGAATAACTGGATAAATTGCAAACATATAATATGTAGCATGATTATTTGTAGGGTCACTTGGAGTTCTTGATATTAGGTGGTTAGAAGCAGTTAACAGGAAACTCATCAGTAGGAGGAACCTGGAATCAGACTGTTCAGACGTTTGAAATCATCAATCAATCATTGTTAGACTACCATTAGAAACCTGAAAGCACTGGACGGCCGTTTCGTCCTGGTAAGGGACTCATCAGCAGTGCGCATCCACGACTCCTGCTCCTCGCAGGATTCGAACGTTATGAACCGACTGTAAATACGGCATTTGTATACAAAGTAATTTAAAGCGTGAAAACTTCTCAAAATGTGTAGCAGGGTGAAATCAGTTCGAATGATGTGAGGGGATTCAGCTTAAGTGACGAGTGTCAAAACCTTGATCCATCGTCTCCGGACAGCTACCTGCAAGAGCCTAGTATAACAACATAATTTAACTGGAACTGCTAAAAGCTGATTTCTTCCAATTATTGAATAAATAAGGTAACAGAATAAAAGAGATATTTGACATGATGATACACAACAATATCTGTTACTGAAATTTATTAAAACGTGACAATGAAATTACAATTTGAACAAAACAAATAAAATGTGCAAATGCACTAGGAAATAAATAAATATGTAACATCCACGACTCCTGCCTCTCGCAGGATTCGAACCCGGGACCTTCGGTATTGTAGGCGAACGCCTTACCATCGGACCACTGGGCGGTGTTACTGCCTACACCCGACAGGGTTGAACTCCATTGGTCACGTCTTGTCAACTAGAACTCCGAGAATTTCCTCATGAAGCTAGTCACTAGTGAGCACTGTAACGATATTTTGGGGCACAATAACTACCAAAGACAAATGAGTGAGGTCGCGCAAAATCCCTAGATCAATCAGAGTTAGACATTAACACCGTTGGATGCCCAGTGGTCCGATGGTAAGGCGTTTGCCTACAATGCCGACGGTCCCGGGTTCGAATCTTGAGGGGAGCAGGAGTCATGGATGCGCACTGCTGATGAGTCCCATACCAGGACGAAACGGCCGTCCAGTGCTTCCAGGTTTCTAATGGTGGTCTAACAATGATTGATTGGTGATTTCAAATGTGTAAAAAAATATGTAACTATATAATTCATAAGCTTCTGCAAAAAAATGAGGCACTCAGTTCACAAAACGAAACTCCACACACAAAGAACATTGAAACATATCGACTAATACTATAGATCTTGGATTAATTTTCTAATCCTTTCCAATTAATGATTTAAATTACATCCCGAACTACAGACAGAGTCTGTACTGGAGTATAAAACTGTGGACTATAATATAGTCAATGACATCGACCCATGTCAATTTTTGACTTGGTCACTTGAAGAACCTCTAAGTTTATCATTAAACTAATAGAATGTTATCAACATCAGTTGTAATCAAATAATCAGTTAGTATTAACACCTCAGCTCGATAAGAAAGCATTCAGACTGTGGTAGGAACATACATTATTAGATTCCCACATATTGTAGGTATGTTTTGAAAGCGACTCCTAACTAGCACAAAATCAATATCAACAGCTTGCATGTAAATGATTGTACACTTCACCATATAGCCTTAATGAAATAAAACACAGATTGACAACGTTCAGGGCAGGTTAGTAATTAAGAGAATCTACGCTAACAACTAAGTTTATCAACTATAGTATCATACGAATAACTTAATAGAAACAACATATAGTACAAAAAGTGAACGACTAATTATATTTCACAAAATGAAAGCTCAGAATACAAGTAAGACACCCAAAAACAATTCACAACAAATAAATAAATGCTAATGTAAAAGAGAAATGACTTACTTCTGTTAGAATGCCTCCACCACAACCAACATCTAGAATCTTGGTACCTTTTAATGGTAAATGCACTGAATCGGCTGTAGATGATGTAGTCAAAGGACGTAGGCCATTTTGAATAAATGGTACACGCAAACGATTCATAGCATGCAATGGTTGCAAGTCTCCTTTAAAATTAAATGAAATATATAATACAAGTTATAAAATGGCTTTATCTTCCTGATTACTACAATCACATTTAACATCTGTTACATTAATTATGATCCTATAATATTATCAATAAACCAAGATGAACCCTGTTAGGCAACACAGATGCAATCCTAGATAGTTTGGTTATAGAGTAATCGAAATAAAATAAGACTTCGATGCATAAATAATGAAATAATACACAAATAAATTCATTTATTGAATTTATTAAACAAATCGTTAGTCAGTCAGTCAGTTACAACGTAGAACTTTGTACGTATGTACATAAGTTCAGGTTGCCATACCACATTAACACAGAGACGCAAATGTCAAATCAAATCCCATAGTGATAAAGATAGTAGAGGTATTAATGGTAATGAAGAAGACTAGGGTTTGAAGATATTATTCAAGAAGTATAATTCAGTGAGATAAGGTTAGAAAGACAAAGATAGAGGTGCTGACGAATCCACAAGATTAGGATTTGAGAGAGCTCAAACAATGGATGCACTTGCACTATTCTCTAACCATTGGTGACTCAGTCAGTCAGTCAGTTGCAACGTA